TGTGTGTGTGTGTGTGTGTGTGTGTGTGTGTGTGTGTGTGTGTGTGTTTTGATACTACTGGTGTGAGGTGCAGTTTGGGAGAGTCCGATGCCTCAGTCATGTCAATGTCAAAATTTTTCCAACGTTCTAAATGGTTCAACAATAATGTATACCTGATTGCCTTGAGCTTTGCATGTGATTAAGAAAAAGGGTTAGAATTAAGTCACCTGTATGGGGACCAAAAAAAAAAAAGTGTTGAAATAGAACTGTGTTTGGAATAAAAGCCTCAGTTGTAGATGGACCAGTACAAATCTGGTTTATGATTGTGAAGGCCAATTCTATAGCTTTTAAGGCTGTCCTGACTTGTCATGTCTCTTGGGATCAATTTCTCCCTCTTATTTGGTCAAAATGTGATCTTAGAAGGTGGAAAGAGAATAGAATACCACCACTAGTAGTAGCGAATATTTCTTGAGTCCCAATTATGTGCAGAACATCGTGTTTTTCCCATTGAATGGGTTCTCATCTACCCATACAATAGCTCTGTGGATAGGTGCTCTGTTTTGCTGATGAGGAAACTGAAACAGAGAGGTTAATTAACTTGTTCAGGGTCACACAGCTAGCAAATGAGTGAGGTGGAATTCACAATCAGATATGCCTGACCACGGGGCGGTGCTCTTAATTAGACATACCCATAGAGGTCAAGTTGACTACTTAGTACTCCCTGCTTTCTTTATTTTTTCCTTCACTCCATTTCTCAATGCAGTGAGAAAAGGGCGGTGTGCTTTTTCCATCACAGGTCACCCACTGCCAGCGGCTTCTCTGTTATCAATTCTTAACTTTGAGAAAGGACACACTGCCTGCTTCAATTTTGTGTGACTCCACATGCATGGGTTCCTTTTCTGGACAAGGGTATTTGCTGTCTAAATCTTCTAAGTCTTGGCTATGCACCACATCAAAGGCAGCATAATGTCTTAAGTTGAACACTCATGGGTGTGAAAACCGCTCACCCAGGTTCAAGTTCTGGCTCTGCTCTTTAATAGCTCTGTGACCTGTGAAACTCTACAAACTGTAAAACAGGGTGATAAGCTACCTCCAGGCCTATTCATTCAGTCTCAGACATGAATTGAACACTGTGCCAGCTCCTAGAGATACAGGGTTGTGAGGTTTAAATGAAGTAATACAGGTGAAGTTGTTGGCCTGGGACCAGTAGATGGCAAAGCCTCAATAATAAAGTAGCCATAGGGGCGCCAAGGTGGCTCAGTCAGTTGAGCATCTGACTTCAGCTCAGGTCATGATCTCACAGTTTGTGGGTTCAAGCCCCATGTCAGGCTCTGTGCTGACAGCTTGGAGCCTGGAGCCTGCTTTGGATTCTGTGTCTCCTTTGTCTCTGCCCCTTCCCCTCTTGTGCTCTGTGTGTGTCTCTCTCTCAAAAAGAAATAAAAATTAAAAAAAAAAATAAAAAAAGTAGCCATGAATAGTAAAATAAAAGGCAATTTCTCCAATTGCCATCAGTGGTCAGGAGACAGGGCAATGAGGTCTTTCCTGACTCTTAAATGATTTTTCATAATTGAGCACCTCCTTCCCCTGGCTGAGGCCAGCCCCAAATTTTCAATAATAGCCATAGCCAACCTTCTTGAACACTTCACACGCACTTTACATGTATTAACTCATGTATTCCTTACAATAACTCCCTGAAGTGGTTTGCATTATATCCTAATTTTATAGAGAAGAAAATGGAGGCCCAGAGAGGTTAAGTAACTTGCCTGAGATCCCACAGCTAATGAATGGCAGGGTGGGGATCTGAACTAGCTAGTCTGACTCCAAAGCCCGTGATCTCACTGCCTATTTTATTTTATTTTTTAAAATTTAATGCATATTTATCTTTGAGAGAGAGAGAGAGACAGAGACACAGACACAGACAGAGACACAGACAGAGACAGAGAGTGAGCAGGGGAGGAGCAGAGAGAGAGAGGGAGACACAGAATCTGAAGCAGGCTCCAGGCTCCGAGCTGTCAGCACAGACCCTGATGCGGGGCTCAAACCCACGAACTGTGAGATCATGACCTGAGCCCAAGATGGATGCTCACCCTACTGAGCCACACAGGCACCCCTCTCACTGCCTCTTTAAACTCACCATACTGGATTCGCCTCAATTTCTGTGTCTCCTGTCTACGTAGCCAGCAGTGAGCAGCTCTAGAAGGAGACACATTCAGGCAGGGGATGTTTAGAAAGATGTTTTGGGGGTTGGTGTTCTGGGAGCCTGTTTAGGAGACGCTGTTTCTCAGGTTCTTATCAGGGATGCTTCACTGATCTCTACCTCCTTTATACCTCTTGGTGCTGTGTCTCTCTGAAATCACCTAAGACCAAATCAGGCCTTCCATCTGGAAAAGCAGTGCTTGTGGAACCAGGAGAGGAGGCGCTGGCTGGGGCAGTCATGGGGGAGGTCGGGCTGCCATTCTCGTAGCCAAAGGCCAGGGCACTCCTTCAGCACAGACTCTGCTCCTCTGCAAAGCCTTGTATCAGCTGCCTTGGGACTGAGTGATGCCTGGCCCATCTGCCGTGCCCACTGTCTTCTGACCGCCCCAGGTTTGCCATGGCACCCCCTGCAGGAGCCACCTGCAGACTCAATGCTGGTGACCTGTGCAGTGGGACAGTGCCTCACTCAGAAGGGCCCACACTTGGTTTAATGCCTTGCTGTCTCCATCTGGACATTCTTCATAAGTTTTTGGAAAGGGGCTCCACATTTTCATTTTGTGTGGGGCTTTGAGAATTATGTATCCAGTCCTGCTCAGACCCCACTAAGGCCTCAGGAAGCCTAAGGTGCAAGAAGCCTCCCCAGCAGGAAAATCTAATAGGGATAGCAGGGGAATGGGGTGGTCGTCAGGGGTGGGGGGTAGGTGGGAGGAAGGTGAGACTCCAGGAAGGCAGGAGTCTTGATTTCAGCTGTGCTTGCCAGGTCAAAGCTCGCTCGTGGGCTGTAGGAAGCTGGAGAATGGATCCACATGTTTCTTTGGATGATGTGAACTTAGCAGTTTGTAATCCATTTTTGCAGTTATTCCCCATAAATAAACCTAATGTCCTCCGAACGTGCAGTTTCTTACCAGTAGGAACACTGGAGATGAGAGTCAGCACGATTTAAGCAGAGAAGTGAACCTAGTCTCTCTGCTCCTTAAGGTCTGTCCTACCTCTTGCCACAAGCCTGAGGCCCCATCCTTACTAAACCCTTCCTCCAAATCCTGTCAGTAAACCAAAGTCCTGCTCAAGTGCAAATGGGGTTTCTCCCTTCTCAAGAGCTTGCTGCCTCAATTAGTGGCCTTGCCCCCATTCTTCCCCATTCCCCCAGATTTCCAGGCCCCCTTTCCTAGCAGCCCTGTCCTCAGGCTGCAGACGGAGGGCTCCCCAGTACTTGTGGCAGTGCTGCGCAGGCAAACTGAAGTGCGAATTCTCTGCTTTTTCTCCTGCCTAGCTCCTACCCCTCAGCTGCCACCCTCCCCCTCCTCCTCTCCTGCTCTCTGGCTTCCAGCCCCTCAGCTATTAAAAGATGCCATTTCAAAGATGACCCATCAAGGTTTAGAGTTTCACCAGCCTTGACCTTGTGGAGACAGGACCAAGTTATGACTTCGGGGGCCCTCAGGCACTTTTGCCTCCAGGAGCCCTTCCTCCATAAAAAAATTTTAAAAATCATATTTGAAGACCATGTTGTTATAAAGTATAATCCAACCTGGATTGTATTCATTTTCTAATTCTTCTTTCAAAATATATCAAAACATTTTCATGGGTCTCTAAGGCATCCATGGGCTCTAGGATCTGTGCCTTTTGAGACTAATGCAGAAAATCAGTCCTGCATTGCAGAGCTGGGTAAAACGTAATAAAGCCTTTTTGAACTCTTTTCTCTCTGGGAAACCATACTACCTTTTTTGTTGTTGTTCCTTTTATTGCGAAAACAATATAGTTACAGAGAAAATTTTAAGGAGAAAAACCCACTCAATCTCATATCCTAACATAACTCTACATCTGTGATTCACTTTCTTGTCCGGATGGAAAGTTATTTTACACAGCTGACTGCTGTGTTTATGCAGTTTTGTATTCTGTTTGTTCCATTTAGTGTCATTTTATTGAAAGCATCTACTATGTTTCTGCAATAGTCTTCATAACCATCCAGTTGACTTATGGTGATTGACTTACTTTTCCCCTCTGCCGGTTTCCTGTTCTTCCCAGAGTCTGCTTTCTCTGGCCTTTTTATAGCTTTTCTTCTTCCTTCCATGGATTTAGTCTGGGCCCTCCGATCATTCCGAATATCATGTCCCCTCCCCCCAGGAAGTTTGATTCATGGTTTCAACTATCTGCCTCACAGGGCAGAGGAAAATGGGCTTTGCAGACGGTTCTTCCTAATGGGAATTACTGTCCAATGGTCTATGTATATGACCTGCCGAATCCCTTTCACACTGCATGGCATTCATTTGAGAGCCAGCTAGGCTATGGGGCATGGTTTTGTTAAACTCTACATTCTAGTAATGGGGTTGGAGTTTCAGAGACTGAAACTACCTCGGCAATGCCCCAGTCCAACGTCAGTATTTTACAGACAAGGAGACTGAGTCTCAAAGCCGTTAACAGACTTGATCATGGTGATGGAACAAATGACCAGATATTTGACACTTTGTTCCTTGACCTCAAAGTTTCATGCTCTTTGCTCAACAGCATACTTTCTGAAAGGTTGAAGAGGAACATTAATTTATACTGGTGTACCATTAGAATGTGAATTTATATTATGGATTTATATTTACAATTATATGGCTCCCTATTTTATCTGAATATTATCTAATGGGAAGGAAAAAGAAAAAATCCACAGCACAGTTTTTAGTGAAGCCCATACTTTGAAATTATCTGGGTCATTACAGGAGAAGTGCCTGTGTGATTCATGTTCTAGCCAATGGTAACTTCACTTGCTCTGTTAATGTTCACTTTGTCTCTATGGTCTGCTGACTCACTTATTACTAAGGTTTTCAACACTCAAATCAATTAAACTTACCTGTTCAGAGACAATGAGCAGACCAGTCTTTGTCCCAAAATAACCAGGCCAACACTGGTACTGGCAACCTGGAGATAACAAAAGCATTCATCACTAAGAGAACTGAATCTGTCTGTTTTGGCCACAAACATAATTTCTTATTTGGAAACAAGAAACGGAAATATTGTAAGCTCTACTTTCCCTTTCATTCCTAGAGGTACTAGAAAAAAAATAGCTCTGAAAATGCTGTCTTGCAGGGAGGGAAACTAATTATAAAGACTTTTTAGGGACCTCTCTTAAATTATTTTTCTATTTCCCCCCAATCTCTCTTCTCCATGTACTGTGTGTTTGTGTGTGCATGCGTGTGTTTGTGTATATGTGTGTGTGTGTGTGTGTGTGTGTGTGTGTGTGTGACATTTCACTTGGATTCAGTGTATTAGTCCCTTTCCATTGGGTTGCATTTGGCCTTCATCTACTTAAATAACCTTCATTTCCACCCTGACTTATTTTGGGGAAAAAAGAAAGTCAGCTATCAATGTAGCTGAAGTGAGAGAATGGCACACAGGAAGCTGAGGAAGGGAAGAGGTATTTTACCACATAGGGGGTATGAGCACTGGCCTCCCACACTTCCCCCACCCCAGTCTCACTCCTGTCCTCACCACTAACTGACGCATCAGATCTCATGCCCCCAACAATGAGTATAACACTGCTGGTCAGTGGCCCACTGTAGGAACATGATTTGTGTCCACAGTCTGCCCTCCTGCCCCCACAGGCTTACAAAGTCCATGGAAACGATGGCTTCAGCAGTTGAGTTCTTGGACTGGGTGAGGATCATGATGGAGGCAGGGATGTCCAGGGTGAAATTACCCGGTAGTAAACTGATCACGGGAGGCTCCGTTGCCATGACTCGTACCAAGAAGGGCTGGGACAAGATGTAGATCTCTGCGATCTGCCCATGTCCAGGGAAAGAAGTGGAGAAGGGGGTTGAGTTGATGAGGGAAAATCACCAGTTCAGGGTGGCATGGGGGTGATTAAATCTTACATCATGCAGTTAGGAACAAATCTCTTCAATAATTATAACAATACCACACAAAAAACAAAGAAAACCAGCAGCTGACACTCACTGAACATATCGGAATTATCTGGTTTAATCTTCACAAAGTCCCTGTGGGCAGGTTCTATCAGAATCCCTGTTTCATAGCTGAAGACAGTGAGTCTTCTTTGGTTAAATAATTTCCTTAACTTCCAAGTGAAGAACTGGGATTCAAGTCTAGGACTGTCTGACTCAAGATCCTTGCTCTAAAGCCAGGATGCTCTATGAACATCTCTCTGTCCTCAGAGCAAACCTGAACCTTTCAGTACACTATGTCCAAATGCAGGTGCTACAAAGGCACGAGATTAATAGTTGCTTCACTAAAGGTACAAACATGGGCACTATTCCCTCATTTCCCATTTAAGCCAATTATTTCAGATGTGTGGTGGAACCTTATGGAAGGGAGAGTTGATTTATTTTGTAAACTTATAATGCCTTTAATATTAACTTGTTTCATAGATATTTGTGGATATTTTATTAAAAGAAAAGAAAACGTCTTCAGAATGGAAAGATGGATTCAGGTTTGGACCAGAAAGGAATAGAAAGAACCCACGAACCTTCCAGTACTATCTAGGAGTTGAACCCTCAGCACTCACCCTGGAGAGCACGTTGCCAACACCTTGAGAGTTTTGAACCAAATGGTTGGAAATCTGGAAAATCAAGACCATCATGTCACTGTAAGATTTTTACCTGGGTTCTCTTTTCAGGGAAAACCTAGATTTCCTTATATTTTTAGGAATGATGAAGTTGTTATACCAACAAATGATTAGTGTTTAAAGGTAGCTTATCATTTTATAGCCCAACCACAGGAAACCTGAGGCCCAGAGAAATAAAGTAACTTGTCCAAGGTCACACAAGAAGTACGTTCCTTTGGAGTAAGTGCCTTTTAACTTTGGCAACACTGTGTATGTCATACATGTATGATCCATGTGTAAACATTCTACAGTGGTTAACAATAAGTCTTGTATTATTGCCCACCTTTTCAGAGATTACCGAGACAAAGGATGCTTAAGTAATTTATCTTCACAGATGAATGGTTTTCAAATCTGAAGCTAAACCTTTCTAATTCTTGGCACTCTATGGTAGCTGGTGTGGCCACACCTACTGTTTTGAACACAAGGTTTATAACCACTTGTATAATTAGGACCCATGGAATAAAAAGATTAGTAAGGGATGCTTGATAAAAGTTGTTGGTTGACTGGAGAGAGTATTCTCATCATAAAAGGGAGGGGCACGGCAAAGAGAATCCATGAGTATGTGTACTATTACCGGTCATTATAGACAAATCGGTTGCAATTACCAACAATTTCTCCTCTTTGTGTAGGCATACACAAGCCATAATAACAATAAAGATAATAAGCAACACTTATAGAACACTTACTCTGTGCTAGGCATTGCTCTGAATGCTTTACGTATATTTAAACCTCCCTAATGTCCACAGTAACTTTAGGAGAATGGAATTATTATTATCCCCATTTTCCAAATGACAACACTCTGGCACAGAGAAGTTAAATAAATTGAAAGTGCCCGAAGTCACAGGTCATAAGTGTTGAGGAGAGTCCTGGCCTTATTTAAGATCATTCTAGAACAGTGGCCTGGTATCACACAAAACTGAAAATAGCAGAACTGGAAACCCAACAACTTCCAGTTAATAAAAACATTAAATTAACAATTACTTCATTCATGTGCTGGTAGGATTGAGGGTCTAAAAAGGCCCAGGAAATAGAAATTATGACTTAAAATTCCTGTAATGGACTACTTATAATAAGACCAAATGCTGGCGCTGATTGTCACCATCCATTAACTCTCCTCACCTCTTTCGTGGAGAGAGTGACGTTGAAGGCTCCAGCTGTAAAGTAAGCAAAGGATGCAGATTTAAAGAAAAACTCAGAGATTCCAACATACAACATAGAGTCACTGCGTTCCGGCAGCACAAAAGGAACTGGCGAGAAGGGAGGGTCAGTGAGGTCTTCCAGTGGGTAGACGACGCCCTGTGGGAAAACAGAGAGAAAGATCAGTGTATCAGGTGAAGACTCAGACATACAGCACTAAAGAAAGTGGATCCACTCATGTCAGAATCAGGAAAATACCAGAAACTCTCTGGGGATTAAAAGACGACAAGGCCTTCTGACTCCCTGACCAGCGACTTTGGTTTCGCAGCTCTGCTAACTTCTTGAGCAGATATGGACATGTCTGTCCACCCTGGGATGTGACCTTCTCCCAGAGAAAGGAAGGCAGGTGCATTTAACTGGATATACAGCTCTGCATAGTTCCTGAGGTGCCACGTAGAGATACCAAACCCTCCACCTTCAAACTCTATGACTAGCAAGCATCTGGGGTGTCACAGAGAGACTCAGAAGGACCCAGGACTCTCAATGGGTTAAAGCATCTTTGTGGCATTCCTAATGCTACCCTCATTAGCTATGTGGTGTTATCACAAAATGTGCCTTGAGTAACATTTAACTGATTTGAACGACTCTCAGTAATTGAAATAAAAGTCAATATGCGCTTAAGAAAACAATGATATTAACTTTGGGGCAAAACTAAACATAAAGACAATTAATCTCTTTTCCAGAATCAGCAAACACCATTTTCATCTGTGAATGGGCCTGACCAAGGTCAACATCCCTCAGTTAAATCGACTAACTGGTCAGGAATAGGAGTATCGATACATATGATCTACTGATGTATTAAGTTCTGATACACATAGAACCACTCTACCTCCTGCCCCTTAGCATCGGACCTGTTCTCAGAGACAAAGGCATCATGATACTTTCCATGATACCCAACATTAGACGCGTGTTGGGTAATACAATCAAGAAAATGTTGAATAGTCTTTTGAAAGAGCATAAGCATGAGGGAATTGCTTGAAGGGAAATTAAATTATATGAAAGATATGTAGTTATATTTCCTTTTGCACATAATATTTCTTCTTTGAATATTGGCAGTTGAGAGCCAGGATGAGAATTCTGACGATGATAAAGTTACCTTCAAATTCAGGTCGATGTAATTCTCAGTAATTTCTGGAGAACTGATTAGGGAATAATCCAGGAGAGTATAGTTGTCTATCTTGGTTAAAACTAAATAACAAACAAATACAAAAGAAAATTTATATTAAAAGCATAGCATAGCAAATGATTATTATCCATCCAGAACAACATAATTTTAATTCTCTGTTATTCAAAATAATGATTACCCTTATTTATAAGTAATACATGCTCACTTTTCAAAACACAGGATAAGTAGGTAAGTCAAAAGAAGAAAGTAAAAACCTTTCTTAATCACATTACACTGAAGGAAACATTAGTAAAATGTTGTTGGATAGCCTTTTTTTTTTAAGTTTATTTATTTATTTTGAGAGACAGAGAGTGAGCAGTAGCAGGGGAGGGGCAGAGAGAGAGAGAGAGAGGGAAAGAGAATCCCAAGCAGGTTCTGCACTGTCAGTGCAGAGCCCTGACATGGTGAGGTCATGACCTGAGCCAATGTCAAGAGTTAGACACTCAACCGACTGAGCCACCCAGGCACCCCAAGTATAGCCTTTTATATATACACACACACACACACACACACACACACACACACACACATGAACACAATGCATATATACTTCTTTTTAAAAGAGAAAATTAGACAGGGGTGCCTGGGCAGCTCAGTTGGTTAAGCGTCTGACTCCTGATTTCGGCTCAGGTCATGATCTCATGGTTTGTGAGTTCAAGCCCTGCATCAGGCTCTGCGCTGACAGAGTGGAGCCTGCTTGGGATTCTCTCTCTCCCCCTTTCTCTGCCTCTCCCCTGCTCGCTCACTCTCTCTCTCTCAAAATAAATAAAATTTAAAAAAAAACATTAAAAAAAGAAAATTAGACAAATAAAATTCACTTATTAATATTAAACTGCATATATTAGGCTGGTATAAAGAGAGGCTTTCAAGTTCTATATTATAGCCTTCTATATAGTTAGAACTTTAAGTTTTTACAATGAATATGTATTATTATTATAATTAGAAATAATCTTTAGAAAGAAATATTGAGAGAGACAGATAGACAGAGAGAGACAGATAGACAGGAATAAAATTCCCTAAGTTAAAGAGGCCAAGAAAATTTTCATGCAGAATCTATTAATTCAATTCATGTTTTGTATTATAATTTTCAGAGCACAGCAGAAGGCCAGGGGACCAGGGGACAGTAGGTGGGGTTCGCAGGAAGCATGATCTCAGAGTCTGAGGCAGGTTGTACACACAGGGGTGTGGCGCTCGGGGTTCCAGCCTGGCCTGGGAGAGCTGCTCTCCTGACCACCACCTTGTGTTCTGTGGTACAAAGACCCCCTTCCTGTTCCAGAGGAAGGCATCTGAGAACCACATCTTCTCCTCTTGCATGCCATGCTTAGTTTATTCCATGGGTGGTGATAAGAAACAAGCAGAGATGAAGGGACTTGCAAGGTGAGGGCCTAATGCTGCCCTATGTCACTACAGTTTCTAAAATGCTTTTAAATTCACAGTCTGAACAGATCCCATCACCATGCTAGGAGGGGAGCAGGACCATGCCCATTTTACAGGTGAGACAGTGAGGTTCCCACGAATAGAGACACTTGCCCATGGGAAGCTAGAACATGAGTCCTTGACCGCTTCTTTCCTTACTACATCTTTCTCTTTCCTGACCTCCCCAATCTTCATCCATCTGCACCCACTCTGATCCACTTGTTCAACCACCATGCATCCTTTCATGGGCCTCATATTCATTCACCGAGTGCAGGTTAGGCACTATTCCTAGTGCTGGGGACATCGTCAGAGAGTGCCTGTGCTTGTGGACCTCATCATCTGAGGGAAGAGTCACACATATGAACAGGAAATTACAATACAGTGAGAGCAGGTCTAAAACCGAGCTCCTCTACAGACTTATGCTTACAGTCTACCCCACCTTGGTAAATGGCCATTCCACTCTTCCAATTTTCTAGTTGCTCAGGTGAAAACCTGGGGTTGTCCTTGACTCCCTTCATGATGCGCATTCAGGGTGTCAGCAAATACCACTGTCCCTACCTTCAAAGAACATCCAGAACCTGAATGTGTCCTATATCTTCATTACTCCATCCAGGCCAACTGCCATCATTACTCACATAGGTCGTTGCAGGAGCCTCTTAAGTGGTCTCCCTGCTTCCACCCTTGCCCCCTTTCTGTCTGTTGTTAATAGATGGAAGCCAGAGTGAGCTTCTTACAATATAAGTCGGATCATGCAAGCCTTGCTCCGAACTCTCCCAAAGATCTTCATCTCAGACTAAGAGCCAGCCTTTATATTGACCTGCAGAGCTTGGAAGATCTGACCATTGCTTTCTCCCTTTCTGACCTCATCTCTGGCTGCCTTCCCCCCCCACACCCTCTACTCCCAGTATGGCCTCCTCGTAGTTCCCCCGACATACTTGGCATGCTCCCACATGGGCCTCTGTGCTTGCGGTTTCCTCTACCTGGAGTGTTCTCCGTCCAGATCTGGGAGTGGCACACTCCCTACTCCATTCAAATTCTTACTGTGATGTCGCATGCTCAGTGATGTCTTTCCTGGCCATGCTCTTTTAACAGAAATGCCTTTGCAGCTCCTTCTCTGCTTTATCTTTCTTCTTATCACTTATCGTATCAGTATCATAGATTTTACTTGTTATCTTGCTTGCTGTCTGTCTCCTCTGACTAGTCCCCATCTTGCTGTCTGTCTCCTCTGACTAGTCCAAAGAGGGCAGGGATTTCTGTCTCCTGGGCTTACTGCTGCATTCCCAGCACCAAGAACAGCATCCAGCCTGTAACAGGTTCTCAGGACACCTTTGGTGAATGAACAAATAGAGTGCAAAGAGAGAGATACACCCAAAGTATCATGTGAGCATAGAGGAGGCAAAACCTTGGGGTACAGGCTATCAGGTAAGACCTGCTGAAGGAGACTATGTCTGAGCTGAGCCTTAAAAGATAACAAGGAGTGGACAGGATAAGGGATGGCTCAGGAGCAGCAAGTAGAAGGGACCGGACCCCTCAGGGCTTAGCTCAGTGCTAGCAAAGAAATGGGTGTTCAATAAATATCTATTAAACGAATAAATGGGTGGAGGGGAGGGGAAGGCAGGGGGGGTAGTGTGAGCCAAGCAAGGGCCTCAGGGACAGTAGAAGCAGTTTGATTGCTGGAGCAGAGAAAGGTGCAAGATGAGGCTGAGAGAGGTAACTTTAGCCAGAGCATGGTGGGCAGGTCTTGTAGACCATGTTAGAGCATTTGGACTTGATCCGGAGGCAGAAAGGAGCCACTGAAGGGGTTAGAACGGGGTCAGGGGTGTATTACTCAGTCGAGATTGGCATTAATCATCCTGAAGAGGATGGATTTAGTGCCAGAGCTGGGATTGAAGCCTGAGACAGTTTAATTCTCTGACCCACACCTAGTCGCCAGCAGCCCCCTGCCTCCTGCTCTGAAGTTGGTTAGCAGCAGAAAAGAGCAGGCCTGGGGCACCTGGGTGGCTCAGTTGGTTAAGCGTCAGACTTTGGCTCAGGATATGATCTCATGGTTCATGAATTTGAGCCCTGCGTCGGGCTCTGTGCGGATAGCTCAGAGCCTGGAGCCTGCTTCACATTCTGTGTCTCCCCTCTCTCTGCCCTTCCCCTGCTCACACTCTGTCTCTATGTCTCAAAAATAAATAAAACTTTTTAAAAACCACATATAAAAAAAGAAAAGAGCAGGCCCTATACACAGGCTTCCCGTGGCTCAAGTTTGCAGAGCGTAAAGCGGGCAGGAGAGCTGGGGGATCTCACATTGAAATGCAAACCTGGAGAGCACCAGAGTGTGAAGGTGGGAAGAGACCCATCCCAAAGAGGCAGTTCTAGGACTCACCCTCTATCGTGCTGAGGTTGGCATTCAGGGCTTCCACCTCATTCATGATAATGGGACACAGCTGGCCACAATAGGAATAAAAAAATTGCAGGTTATCATATTGCACTTGAAACCTCTCTTTATGGCTTAGGCCCTGCAAACAAAGGCCTTCTGGTTAGGAGACATTCTCCCTTTGGTCACCAGGACTTTTCCTGAAATTAGTCGATGCCCCTGGGCCTCACGTTACGTACGTATGGCTGGCATGTCAGTGAATGCTGGCTAAACTTCAGAGCAGCCAGGACGACACCCAGTTAGCCCCATAAAAGAATGAGGCCTTGGCTTTTCTCTCTGAGGCATGATGGGACATGTGCCTGGTACCTGCTAGTGCGGTCACACCTGAGAAACCTGCTGCTGGAACAGCTGCCTTCCTGCTGTGCCGTGCTCTGCTGGGAGAGGCTACAGCCAGGGCCTCCACTTTCCTACTTGTCTGGCTTGAGATCCCTCTGGTTGGCAAATCAATCCTGAATCAGACTCAAGCTCATCTTTACGAAGCCACCGTGTGCCAGGCGTGTGCCAAGCTCTCAGCATGGTGGTTACGAGCAGAGGCTCAGGAGCCTGACCATCTGGGGTTGGCACCCTTGGCAAAGTTGTTTGTACTCTGTCCACAGTTTCCCCATCTGAAAGATGGGGATGATAATTGTACCCACTCAATAATATTGCTGTGAGTAGAAATTGAGGTGATCCATGTAAAATTGCCCAGCACATGGCAAGTATTCAGTAAATGTCAGCTGTTGTGTTTCAACCCCATTGCCTCACAATGGTGCAGAGAGATGGGTGCCACTGTTGCCTATTCACAGATGGGAAAGCCAAAGCTTAGAGAGCCTCCGGGAGTTGCCAGGAGTTACATTACTAGGATTGGAAATCTAGATAGTTGTGGCATGAGCATTCTTTTTTATATTCCCATGGCACAGAGGGAATACTAGAAGCAAAGCATCCGTGGTCTCTAAATCATACATAAACTCCAGGCCAGCTTAACTAGTGGCTTCCATCAGAGGCCAAAGAACCATGTCTTGTTTCGAACGGAGGAACCATGGGGAGTGTGGGGCCTGTGAACGGGACAGCACTTTCTCAGTCACTCTCTAACACACATGTGCGCTGGCACTCAGCACCAGTCAAGTGAGGATGGAGAAAGACCGTGACACTTCGGAGTCCCTCGACCAGCTGGGTAATTCCCTTGGACGAGCTGCTGAATGTGTTTGCATGTTGATTTCCTCACTGACATTCATTAAGCACCTCCTTGTCACTTATACTGTTTCTGGAAATAACCATTCTTCTCCCCCACTCCTTACCTATCGAAATCATACGTGTACCTCAAGGCCCAGTTCAAGTCCTCAGTCCTCTAAAGAATACCCCCGGGCCCCCCCCCCCCCCCAGGAAACTTTCAGGTCCTTTTGATGTAATCTTTCCATTTCTCTGAGCCTCTTCAGTTCAATCTACTGATCATGTAATTATGTATTAAATTCAAATACTCATTCAGTTATTTTTCCACAAGACTGAGTTGGGTTTTCCTAAAAACCTTTCTTACATTCCCAACAGCCTGTAGCCTAGTGCTGGGCATGCAGTAGGTACACAGTAAATAAACTCTTGCTGATTGTTGCCCCATCCTGTGGTGAGCGCTTGAAGGCAGGAATGCTGTTTTATTTATCTCTGCATCCCCAGCACTTACCACAGCACATGGTAGGCATTTGCGAAACTTAAATCGCAGAGGATGTGTGTGAAAGTGCCTTGGATGATGCCTAGCATACAGTAGGTGCTCAATAAAGGTTTATTGAGTAAGAAGTAAGTAAAGCATGGCAGAACTGCTGCTGAGCATTTTACTGTGGCCATGTCACCTCTAAAGACTTACCATTTCATTTAAGTTCTTTAAAATGGGTTTCTCCATGGGCTCAGCGAAGGAGTTGTACAGGACACTGGGGAAGAAAGAAAATATGGGCTTATTCAGGAACTTTATCTGCCGGTTATAAACCTCTTCCTGCGCTGCTGGAGAATCCAGCCCCAGACTAGCGACCGCCTACCACGGTGCTATCACTCACCTGAGTTCTCCGGAAAATGAGACGTGGGCATGATTCACTTGGGCATAGCAGTCTTGGAGCTTCAGGATTGGGTGACCAAAGTCATTTCGGGCAAGAACAATGATACCGGTGAAGTAGACCCCAGAGAGAAACAGATCAGCTCCTCCTGTGTCTTGGCTGTTGAGAGAAAAAGTGCAAGGTTACCCAGGCCTGGGCAGGGGAGAGAGGGATCATTTCTCTGACTACTCACAGCCTCTAAGCTCCTGGAGGGCTTTGTCACCTCTGGATTCCTGGCACCAATAATGGGTCAGAGCAGAGTAGGTGCTGAATGGATTTACTAAACAAATGAAGCAATGAATATGTCAGTGGTGACAGTGTTAGTTTAGCTTTTTTATTCTGAGTGCTTTCTGGTGCCCACAGTGGCTGAGCACCTATCAAGCACTATGTGTATACAATGCTTGGAGAGAGAGAACACTGAATAGCCTTATTTAGGACAGGCACTGATGGGGATGTGACAGACGTAGTCTGTGAACTCTCTGAGGGACTGGAGTGTGTATTATTCATTCCCTTGTCTCCAGGATAAGCACACAGAATAAGCACTTAATAGGTGGCTGATGAGTCAGTGAAGAAATGAATGAACCCTGAATCTATATTACTTATGGCAGAATATATCATTCCTCTACAGTCTACAGGACTGGAGTTCTTGAGATGGGGATAAATGGTACTTGGTAGGCACTCAATAAATGGTTGTTGAATGACCAAGTGGATGAGTGAATGTGCCATTCTGGGGTGCCAACCAAGGCAGACCTAAACATTACACCCAAGACATGTAGTAGGTGGTCTGCAAGCGTACCTTGAATGTGATACCTCCTTTCTCTAGGAGGGTGCAATTGGGCTCCAGCTGACTATTATCCTCTTACCTCCTTGTGAGGTAGGAAGGTCTCATCTCTTAATCAGTTGCCCCTGTGGATGGGGAAGTATGTGGAATCACCTGAGATCCTACAGACTCACTGAAGGTCTGAAATCTTGAGTACGTGTTCATTCCTTCTAGCTCTTAGGAAATCTTAAATGACATTTTGCTCTGCCTTCAGGGGATGGATGCTTTTCAGTCCTCCCACAACCTCCCCCCCCCCCCCACTGCCAGCCCCCAACAGAGATATTCTGATTTAAATCTCTCTTGGAAAAAAAAATGCTCTTGAGAAAGACTGCTAATGGCTAAGGGAAATAAGCCTAATGTCAAAAACATCACCAAATTTATGTCCTTCCAGTTTTTGTTCCATTTCTTCCCAGAATAGCGGCAGACTTTTTTCAGTGGGACACTCACAAGAGTGGAGACTTGATCTCCCAGTCGGTGCTGATGTTGGCGGTGCCGTGGTTAGTCAGTGCCTTGATCCCCACCCCAGGCACAAAGGCTAATGAAGTATTTGGAAATGAAAAGGCATTGATTTTTATGCTGTAGAACAAGAAACAGAGAGGTCAGTGCATATCTTCTAACACTTCTCTAAGTGAGGCAAAAATCAGAAAGGAGGTTTGTGGAACCCCTAATTCCTGTAGAGGAAGGAACCTCAGGTCTGCGGTGCCTCTGGGCATTGCCTTCTTTTTTTTTTTTTTTTTTTAAATTTTTTTTTCAACATTTATTATTTATTTTTGGGACAGAGAGAGACAGAGCATGAACGGGGAAGGGGCAGAGAGAGAGGGAGACACAGAATCGGAAACAGGCTCCAGGCTCCGAGCCATCAGCCCAGAGCCTGACGCGGGGCTTGAACTGGCTGAAGTCGGACGCTTAACCGACTGCGCCACCCAGGTGCCCCTGGGCATTGCCTTCTAATTCCCCTTTGGTCCTTGCCAGGAAGCCCCTTGTTTCTAATTGAGGGGGAAGTGAGTAAGTTTAGAAACAAATGTGAAAATAATACATTTCTTTAGTTTCATTAAAGACAATACAATACGAGTACAACATTGCCATCATTATTTTTTTCCTTCAGCTGTTCCAGTGCTTCTCAACAGGGTGGGGAAATTAGTATTTTGGGTGGGACAATTAGTTTTGGAGAGGACTTTATATACATTTTAGGGTACCTGGCATATGTACCAACTACACGCCAGTAGTGCCCTTCCCCCATCACTGGACAATCGCAAGGGTGCCTTTCTCCTATTCCCAGATGCCCTCTATATGGACAGAATTTTCCCTAGTTGAGAAAGTTAGAGTCTTCCCTAGTTAGAGCAGAATCTTCCCTAGAGTATTAACTTCCCCTAGGATTCTCTGAGCATAAGAGGCAATGGGCTACAAGTAATCTACATAGGTAGATAGCTCATGTGTTGAGTGATTACTCCATGCCAGGCACCATGGTAAGCACTTTACATGCATTAGCTCATTTTAGTCCTCATGATAATCCCATGAAGCTGTTGCTGGTTTTGCAATTTGCAATTCAGAGATGAGAGGATAAGGAAGTCATGAGCACTTGGTTGAAGTCATATGTAAGTGGTAGAACCAGACCTGGAGCCCTCCTCAATCTGTTTTCAGACTGTGTGCTTAACACCGGGCTATGCCACTTCATGTATTCCGCAAGGGGCACTCAACTTGGAGATGAGTTTTGTGCTAGCCATGCAAACTTAGGTAAGGCACTTAACCTCTTTCAGGCAATCACTCAGAGGAAGGTTTACTCATGGGTAGGCTGAGAAGACAAAATGAGATCATCTATGCATAACTGTGGCACAGGAGAAAGACATTGTTCTGAACCAAGGTTAGGAAAAATGTAAAAGGTAAATGTGATAGCTGATAACAAATGCCTATCTACTGTTTCTTGTATTTTGCATCCTTTCCTACCTGTTCTTTGTCACACACCCTGAGTCCCACTGTGGGAAGAGGATGGCAGAGATTCATTTAACAGATCTTAGAAGTATTTTCAGTTTGGTACCTATAGGCCTAGCCCATTCTTTATATTCAAGCTATGGATGTATCATGGAAGAGATAATTTCTTTGTTGGTGGACACCTACGTTATTTCCAGTATTTCTGTGTTATAAACAATGACACACAGAACATTCTTACATGCTGTTTACATGTGTGTCTTTCTAGTGATGATGCTGAGAAGTGGGATTAGTAGGTCAAAGGGCATGCATTAAAAAAAAGGTCCTTGTAAATTACCTTTTAAAATAGAACTGCCCAACAGAAATAGAATGTGAGCCACATATGTAATTTAAAAATTTCTAGTAGTCACATTTTAAAAAGGGAAAAGAAATGGGTAAGAGTGATTTTATTAGTATTTTTTTTTTTTTTACTTAACCCAACATAATCTAAAATGGTATCATTTCAACACATAGGCAATATAAAAATGATTAATGGGATATTTTGTTTTCCTTTTTTCAAAATAACTTCAAAATATGGTCTGTATTTTTACACTCATAATATGACTCAAGGTGGACACTGAATTATCGGTGTTATCAGAAACACTTGTTATCAGAATTATCAAGTGTTATCAGAAACACTTGACCTATATATGATTGGATAAAATATTCAACTGATAAACTTACATACGCAAATTGTCCCACACATACTTAAAAGCTTTTCAATAACTGAACTGAGTTCCAAGTTTTAAATTAAAATTGATTGAAATTAAATACGTAAAATTTCAGTGCCTTCATTGCACTAGTCATATTTCAAGTGCTCAGTAGCCACACGTGGCTAGTGGCTCCTGTGTGGGGAGCACAGATCTGAAAGTACTGTACCAGTTCACCTGCTCCCACTAGCAACGCATGAGGATACCGGTTTTCCTCATCTTCACCACACTTCATAATATATGATTCACCCTGGATTTTTCTGCTGTGGGATTATCATCACTGTAATTAAATCATTCATTCTGTAAATATATCATGTCCATCTCTCTTACTGGACATTAAGGGCAGGAGATATATCTGTGTCATTCACTGTAATATCCCCAATCAGTAAAACAAAGCCTTGGTATCTAGCAGTAGGTCCTCCATAAACACTTGTTGAATGGCTTCCTTTATTAACAACTAGAGCATTTGCCAGGAGCTTTACCTAGATTACCATCCTTTTCTCTACCCCATGCCCCAAAAAACTCATGATTTTATAGAATATTATCCTTGATAGCAGGGAAATTATTACTCCAAAGGGTTGGAGCCAGCAGGGAATTATCAGTGGATTGATAAAGCCTTGGGGCAAATTGTGAATCACAGATAATTCCTTATAAAATCTTGACTCTCTGCTTTATCTTTAAGATTGACCTCCAGATGGACAAAGACATCTTCTCTGTACACCGTCTTTGGGGCTTTTGTTGGCAACTGCGGCAGAGGTTGCCGGTTGTTGTCTGAACAGCCATTTCCCCTTCTTTCCTAACCGTCCCTGAATTTGTTCAGGATGTCAAAGGTGTCTGGTTAGAAAATGAATATTCCAGTCCCTCTTGCTAATAAGTATGGCCATAAGACTAAGTTCTATTATTGCATAGGCAGAGTATTATTAGAGCAGGGCTTCAGAAAAAAACTCAGTGAAGAGACTAACCCAGCTTACAAGAACCCTTTCACCCTTGCCTGTTGTTCCCTCTCAGGCTTGACAAACGGATTTGATGGCTGAGCTGCAGTGGCCATACTGGACCATGAGACAACTTTGAGGACAGAAGCCAGAAGTAAGGATGGTGGGGCAGAGAAATACAAAAAGCCTGGGTTCTGATGAAATCATGGGACTTCCAAAGGATTTCTCTAGTCTTACTTTTGAGCTTCTTATGTGTGGCCTATTTCTACGACCTCTGAAACCTTAACCAAACTTTACTAAAGTTAGGAAAGCCTTGACGAGAGTAGATTTGTTTTTGAGACTGTGGTTGAATCCTACATCTAGGTTTAGGGTGTGGGGTCAGCAATAGGATGGACAAGAATTTCACTTAGAAATTCAAGGGGCAAAGAGTTCTCATTTTAGGAAAGAGGCAAGGACATGGGACTCTGACCATATTCATCAGACACAACACACAAAACTAGTGTGCAGCAGGGATATGACTTAGACCCAGGTGTTCTGACCCAAATGCCACAATCTTTGTCAGCTTCATGACCCCTCTTTCTTGGGTCATTCATCTGATAAGCCTCTTACCAAATTTGGTTTACCTTCTACTGTGCAGGTCCTGCTGTCACACCAGAAGACGTGGTGGCATATCCACAACCCTAAGGTTTTAAAGATTAATTTCACGGTTAAAAATGTTCTTTTTTACTTACTTTGAAAAATTGTAGTTCACATAATCAACCTTCAGAAATTCCAGAGATTCAGAACCCTTTAAGTCTGGGATGTTTTTTTCCTTAAGCATTTGCTCAATCATCTCCATCCCAGCTTGAACACCTATGAAGGAACCAAAGAAAGCATTTATTGATCATGCCAGAGATGATAATGGCATAGCACCATTAAACATACGCATGAAATTTACAGAGTACGTGCTCTTAGAAACTTAGAAAACAGCGACCCTACAAAGTGGATGTTATTGTCCCTGTTTTACAGGTGAAAGCACTGGTCCTCAGAGAGGCTAGTGAAGACCCCAGGACCCCAGAACTAACTGTATGAGAAATTCTCATTATGTAATCAAGACTAAAGGCCTGTTACTACAGGCAGTGTGAAGGGGAAAGTACAAAATTATTATCATTATTATCCCCATTTTAAAGATGAACAAACTGAACCTAAAAGGCGTGAATTCGCACCTAATTCACACAGCCAAGAACTGGGAGCCCAAGAGTGAAATCTGGGCGTTTTGGTTCCAGACTCCATGCCTTATCAGGTAGTTATTCCACATTCTCCCTTTTCCCCTAGATTCTTTAAGCTCAGCAACAGCATGGGCTGTTGGGAGCTCGTAACCCTCCTGAAATTCCAGTAAAATACCATGAATAGGTTGTGTGTGTATGTGTCCATTTGTATCTCATATTTCAGGGGAGAGGGTCCATGTTTGCTTCAGACTCTCAAAAGATCCCGGGACCCCAAAAATGTCCTCAGTAAGCCCTGCTTTTGTGCAATTCAGGAATAAACCTGTCCCAGGTTTACATGGTAGTATCCCAGGACACATTTTTCTGAGTTCACGGAGAGAAAGAGCCCTTTTATACATAAAGAGCTTGAGGAAAGTAACTTACATAATAAATGAAGAACAGGATTTTCATTTTAACCTTCTTTTTAAAATTTTATTTTTATTCAAAAAAATTTTTTTAACGTTTATTTATTATTGAGAGACAGAGAGAGACAGAGCATGAGCATGGGAGGGGCAGAGAGAGGAGGAGACACAGAATCTGAAGGAGGCTCCAGGCTCTCAGCTGTCAGCACAGAGCCTGACGCGGGGCTCAAACTCAGGAACAGTGAGATCATGGCTTGAGCCAAAGTCAGACCCTTAACTGACTGAGCCACCCAAGCACCCCTTCATTTTAACCTTCTTAAGGAGGAAGCTTTGCCCTTATGCCTTATTTTGCAGCTTAAGCTCATTTCCACTTAGGCTGTCCTTGTGGAGACGGAGAAGAGCAGATTTTATCTTCTGTAATACCATGAATAATACTGTAATATAGGGATGTAGGGGTAGAGTGTAAAGGATACAAAGATGGAACCAAAGGCACTATCAGACAGCTTAGTTTCGAATCCTAACATTGTAACTAGCATTGCAGGACTCTGCAATTTACAAAATCTTGCTGCCCCTTGCTTTCCTCATCTGTAACATGGGAACATTACTAACTGTGGAAGCTTCTGTTCACACATGTGCAAATAACAGTAATTGATATTTGTTGGGCATTTGCTATTGCCAGACCCTCTTCCAAAATTTATGTCAATTCATGTGTTTTCCACAATAGCCCCATGCGTAGGAACTATTATTATCACCACCATTTTAAGAAATACCTTGAAGGTACTACTGATAATAGGGACATAACATTTTTCTGGAAAAATGTGGCAACATAAATATTTGATGAATTTTAATAAGAATAGTTAGTTTGTGTGCTTATATGTGCCAGGACTGTCCATACTCTACACATATTCTCTCCTTTGATCCTTATGGCAACCCAGTGACATAGGTATCATTATCCCTATTTCACATAGGAGGCAGTTGAGGCTCAGAGAGGTTCACCAGCTTGCCCAAGAGCTCACAGGTACTTACTGTCATTATTGACAGTTTGGAGGAATAGGGAGCAGAGAACAAAGTGTAGGTTTTGAAATCGGCAGAGCGAACCTGAGATCTGATCTTGCCTTGCCCCCGTACTGGTGTGTGACTTGGGGAATTTAATTCAGCCCCTCTGAGGCTCAGATTCCTCCTCTGTAAAATGATTATCCCTTCTTTGTAGGGTCGTTGTTGGGATTAAATCAACCCAGAGCCCATAACACACATATCGAAGAGCCTAGCTATGATAGAGGCTCAAGAAATGGTTCTGATAGAAATCATAGCCAAGAAATGGTTCTGACTTTAAAGCCTGTCCTTCTTGATTCTATGCCATATTTCCACAGATGACCCCACATGATCCTCATGTTATTACATGGGGGCACCATTGTTGTCATCCCCCCATCCTGTTTTCCAGAGGAGAAAACCCACTGGCCCAACACTATGTATTGAGGAAAGGGGCAGAACTGAATGAGATTCATACCCATGTGGACTGACTAGTTCTGTTCTTTTAATTGCTCTGATCTTGAGGGTAGAATAAGCTGTTTTCACAATTTTAATACAGTTTCAAGATATCTATTTCTGTGCATATTAGTATATTAATAGAGTAACAAGATACACATATATGTACATATATACATGTGGATACACACGGGGATACCTGGTATGTAATTCTCATTATAGCCAGCTCCTATAACAATCATACAAGATGGATAATTTAAGATTCCCTGTGCCACATGAGGTACTGGGGGAAGGAAGGACAAGGATTTGCCACAAACTCAGTCTTTCCTTCCTCCATCACTCCCTTCCTTTCTTCCATCATTTGTATTTTTTTTTTTTTTAAGTGTGCTCCATGCCCAGCATGGAGCCCAGTGTGGGCCTTGAACTCACAACTCTGAGAACAAGACCTAAGCTAAGATCAGTAGTCAGACGCTCAACCAACTGAGCCACCCAGGCACCCACATCCTTCTTGTACTTCTTTTCTGGTGTAGCAGGTGAGGAGTTTCCTGGTTACACTTTGCTATTTCTGAGTGAGACTAGCAGTGCTTTAGTTAAGAAGGGATGGAGTTTTCTGTTGCCCCTATTCGGCTAACCTCAGGCCAAAATTTATAGGAGAAAACTCGGCCTACACATTTTGATTTTGCAGTCCCTCTGCTGTACACAATCTGCCTTCGCCCCCGCTCTGCCCAACATTTATAAACACCTCTGAAGGGGTTTTTCTTCATCTTTCAGCATCTCAGGCCCCTTTTTGCATCTAATGAATGCAAGGAGCTTCTCTCAAGAAAAATACATGATCATCATCCACATTAAATTTGGTACAGTTTTAGGGGACTCTAAGTTCTTTTTGGGATCAAGACCTTTCTGAAGCTCTAAGCTACTTCTTTCACTCTCACATCTCCTCCCCTCTGTCCTATGATGTATCCTCCTTTAGAGCAGAGATGTTCATTGTATGTGCATGGGGGGTAGACATGGGGGAGGGGAGAGAATGAATATCTGTGGCTGTGTTTGGATAGGTCTACCATCAAGGTGATTGTTTTCTGTCTTATTTTATTTTTTTTAATGTGTATTTATTTTTTAAGAGAGAGAGAGAGAGAGAGTGTGTGTGTACAAAGTGGGGAGGGGCAAGAGAGGGGGACAGAGGATCCAAAGTGGCTCCTTGCTGATAGCAGAAAGCCCAATGCGGGAGGGACCTGAACTCACAAACTGCGAGATCATAACCTGAGCCGAAGTTGAATGCTTTACCAACTGAGCCACCCAGGTGTCCTTTTATTTTATTTTTATAAAATGTTTATTTATTTATTTTGAGAGAGAGAGAGAGAGAGAGAGAGAGCAAGCATGCATACACGTGAGCAGGGGAGAGGCAGGGAGAGAGGGAGAGAGAGAATCCCAAGTAGGCTCTGCCCTGTCAGTGCAAAGACTGAGGTGGGACTCGAATGCACGATCCATGAGATCCATGAGCTGAGATGAAGAGTCGGATGCTTTAACCAATTGAGCCATTCGGGCCCCCCAATATGACTGTTTTTTAGACACCACTTCCTTCCCAGCCATCTTAGCAGCCTCTGTATTAGGGGCTGGATCACCTGCAGTAAAGCTTGCCTCAGTCATGAGACAGTCTAGTATGAGCTTTCAGGTTTGGAGGGCTGAGAGCACCCCACTCACCATAGTCCAGAGCCCGCTGAGTAGCCCTAGCCTTGATGCCAGGGTAAATGGTCTGGGCGGATGAAGTGTAGAGATTCCACAGGAAGAAACATCCCCAGAGGACTCCGACTATCTTTGTATGCATCTGCAATCAACCAACATTTATGGTTCCTTTATTATTCTTGACTTTTTTGTTGGTTAGTTCCATCCAACTTTTCTATGATTTCTTGTTTCATTGCTTACTTCCAAAACTCACTCTACCCACCCATCTGTCCATATATCCATCCATCCATCCATCCATCCATCCACCCATCCACCCATCCACCCATCCAGTAGTCATTTATTGAACACACCAGAACATGTGCTAGGTGCTGAGGATGCAGAGATGACCTATGTGTGCTCTCAACCTCTGCTTCCCACAGACTAGTGGGTGAGTCACACACATACACACAGATGATTATAACTCAACACAACATAATGCAATGCAACACAAGAGCCTTGCCGTAAATGTAACAACTGTGATATGCCTTGGAAAGGATAATGGGGTGGAGATTTGGGATTCTTGACAGTTTTAGAACAAGAGTCAGTAGTTTAGAAAGGTGGCTTCAGTGGGTGTGAAACAATCACTCATCTGCTTGAAGACCCTTAATGACTCCCCGTTGCCCACAGGACGGGGTTTAAGCTCGCAGGCCAGCCGCAAGGCCCTGCCCTTCTCTACACCTCTACTTCCTCATTGACTTCCTTTCTTAACACACATGCTTGGCTTACCCCAGAGTCTAGTACAATGCTTGGCACATAGAAGATACACACAAAAAAAATCTTAAATCAACATCTCCAAGGAGAGGGACCACATGTTTTCACTGCTATATTGCTATTGCTTGGCATATATTAAATATACAATGTATACTTATTTAATTAATGGACTCAATTAATTAATGCCAGCCCATTTTCCTGATGAATGAAGCACAGGTTACCAACAGCAACAGTGACATGGGTTATTTTAATGACAGCGGAGTGAGTAATACATTCATAAGTTTTGTTTCTAGTTCTGGGAGTTTACAATCTGGCTGAGCGACTATTGCTGCATTCATATGTGCCAAAGACCCACAGGTGACAGATACCCACTGAGTTAGCATACAAATGTGAAACAAACCAGGGAAGCATTTGTGGGGGTGTCAAGGAAGAGGAAGGTGTGGGAGTCATGCAAAAGGAGGGGTCAGGACAGGTGAGCAGGGAAGGATTTAAAGAAGGGCTAGAATTCAGGAGCAATCTGCATGAAGGAAAAGATCATTGAGAGGGGTGTATGGGAGGTGCTTGGCCAAGACAAGCAAGAGGTTTGATAAAGGGGATTGTGTGGGCCTTATGGAGAAGGCCATAGAGGTGGGAATAGAATGATGTAGACAAAGGGGGTATTCCAGAGAATTTACTTGAGAGGAACAGAGCAGTCTGACCAGGGAAAGGAGTGTCCAAGCAAGGCTGTTGCTAGCCTTCCTTGGTCTTTTGTGTGGAATGGGAAAAGGTGCCCTTTGGAGATATACCAGCCTTCTGGCACAAAGGGGCCAGCAGAAAATGTTTTAGGAAAATCCCACACCAGTGTGCCCAGCTTGGTGGGGAGAGCAGGAGCTGCCCCCCCGCCCATCCCTTAGGCTGGCATTTTGTCTAGTGCACAAGCTGCCCAACCTACACAGAGGACCTATGTTCAGATTAGTGAATGGTCATGTGGGTATTTTGCTGGAGGGACATGAGGTTGAGAACTGGGATCTTGACTTCTCTGTTCTGTGGTGCGTAAGTCCACCTTTAGGTGTGAGAAGAGCCTGGCTCAGTCAACATGTTTACATTTCTCACCCAATCTCCCAGGAGCCCTCTCCATGTACCCCACTGTCCAGACAAACTGGACTCCTGGTTCCTAAACACCCACCATGCTTCATGCCTAATGCCCACGCTTATACTGTTCTTCACTTAGGCTGGCAGAAACCCTGTGCATCCTTAAGGTCCATTTTATATTTTTTTATTTTTAAAAAATTTTTTAATGTTTATTCATTTTTGAGAGAGAGAGAGAGAGAGAGAGAGAGAGACAGAGAGAGAGAGACAGAGAGTGAGTGGGGGAGGGACAGAGAAAGAGAGGGAAACACAGAATCCAAAGCAGGCTCCAGGCTCCGAGCTGTCAACACAGAACCCGATGTGGGGCACAAACTCACGAACTGCGAGATCATGACCCAAGCCACCTGAGCCGAAATCGGACCGACTGAGCCACCCAGGCGCCCTTCCTTAAGGTCCATTTTAAACACAGCCTTCTTCCTGAAGCATTTCTGACTTCCCTAAATTAATTAATCTCATTTCCTTCTGAATGAGAAGGAATCTTTGGTCAATATATATATTTATTCATGTGTGTACATTTATTTTCTCACATATTGTCTGTCTCTCCTACCAAAATGTAAGTGCCATGAGGGCAGAGACCTCATCTGGTTTGGAGGTCCTAGAGCCAGCTTAATGTCTCAGATACAGAGTGATTGGTAAACATTGGTAGAATGAATCAATGAATTCTAAATGAAGGAAGAGTCCTTACCTCGCTCTGAATTATAATACAGTTCTTTGCAGAGGCGATTAACAAAGCATTTGTACACTAGTGAAGCATATGCACCCATTAAAACAGATGTTGGCCAGAGTCTGGGGGCAGGGTTGGGAGGGTAGGTACTGGATCATGGGGACAGGAGAAGTCTTGGATGGACTGGCCAGTGTGGTTGGGGTACTGGGGATAGGGTGAGGGACTCACAGTGACTATTTACTATTAGAAACTGAGGCATTTCAATATCTTAACACTGCTATGGCCTTATGCACTCCGTGTGATGTTTCAGCCCTATAGAGTTGATTTGGTTGTACAGGACAATGTACAGAAAGGGGCAGCAGTGCTGGGGGCAGGGCTACAGAGGGGTGGCTTGGGGATAGTCAGGGTGCAGAAGACACCAAGGGAAGCACAGAGCAATGACAGTAAGAGCCAAGAGGGAGGGACTTGAGTAGGGGGCTGATCTCTGGTCAGAGAGTTGGAGGAAATGTGGGGAGTAGGACAAGCAAGTGGGAGCATGGTGATATCAACATCTTATACTCAGTTAGAATGGACTCAGGGGTTAGGTCCTATTGCTATCTGTACTAGGCCCTCTTTGATCCTTGTTGTCCAGGGGTCTCAGAGAGCGGGACAGGCAGAGATGGATGAAGCTATGGGGGTGAGGGGAACACTCCTGGGGCTGAGGTTAATGACTATTCACCAACTAGTATGAAAGTATTTCCACATTTTAACAAATGGTGAAGCCATGCTGATGTGCAGGCACACTGACATGGCTGTGGGCAAATAATTGTAAATGGATATGCCATATACCTAGGAAGGCACGAGAGGGATTTTTTAAAAAGAGGGAAACATTTTCAAAGCAGTGGAAAGCAAAAGGAAAAAAAAAATGTTAGACCAAAGATTCTATACACACTCCACTGTATCCAGATTAAGGTTGAAATGATCTCTCTGCCTGGCACATAATAGGACCTCAATAAATATTTTCTAACTGACCAACTGACTGGCTTACAAGATTTTGGTTAACTAAGGGGCGCCTGGGTGGCGCAGTCGGTTAAGCGTCCGACTTCAGCCAGGTCACGATCTCGCGGTCTGTGAGTTCGAGCCCCGCGTCGGGCTCTGGGTTGACGGCTCAGAGCCTGGAGCCTGTTTCCGATTCTGTGTCTCCCTCTCTCTCTGCCCCTCCCCCGTTCATGCTCTCTCTCTGTCCCAAAAATAAATAAACGTTGAAAAAAAAAAAAAGATTTTGGTTAACTAAGAAAGGTTCTAGAAAAGTGTGAAAAAAGATGAGAAAACCAAACCATCATCTAAATAGTTCTTCATTACTACAGTAAAAAAGCACAATAAGCCAAAGCAGAGTTGTTACTTATTAATGGAGTAACAACTAAAATAATAAATTTGTATTTTTTTTTTTTTTTTTACCATTTACAAAACTCACAACAATTCTTGGAGGTAGATGTTACTATTATCCTACCTCCATCTTAGGCATATGGACACAGAGACTTAGACAGTCTGGTGACCTATGTGAGACCAGGTAGTAAATCAGGCACCCAGCAATCACAACTTGCTCTTCTGGCTCTAGATGTTAGTGTTTATGAATTTAATTACTTGATAAGTGCTAGATTTTTCATTTTTATCTGAGAACTTAATTTTTTTTTGACATCTATTTATTTTTCAGAGAGAGAGAGAGAGAGACATACACAGAGTGTGAGTTGGGGAGGGGCAGAGAGAGAGAGAGAGAGAGAGAGAGAGGGAGATACAGAATCCAAAGCAGGGTCCAGGCTCTGAGCTGTCAGCACAGAGCCCAACATGAGGCTTGAACCCACGGACTGCGAGATCACGACCTGAGCCAAAGTTGGTTGCTTAACTGACTGAGCCACCCAGGTGACCCTTCATCTGGGAACTTTAAATATGAGTTATGTGATGCCATTTTCTATGTAGAAAAAAAATCATTAAGCATCTGGAAATTTTCAAGCACCAAAGCGCAAATGCTTTTGTATTTTCTCGGGCACAAATGGAATTTTAAATTCCCTTCCAGCAGCAAAAATCTATTTATCTTCTTGGTTAAAGGACGTTTCTGAAATGGTCTACTTCGATGGAGATCCAGGAACTCAAAACTGCACATAGAAAAACATTTTTCCTCTAGAAATTTTATGAGTGAATGAAATTACTGGGCTATAAAAGGATAGACTGTATGTAACTTTCAGTTGAATTGTTTGTTAGGATGATAATTTATGGACAGGGGAGGGAAGGAACCTTGTCAAGCAAGGAGATGAATCCTAAAAGGTTAAGTAATTTGGCTACAAGTAAGGGCAGGATAAATTGCCCTAAAAGAAAGAATCCAAGATGACTTATATACCCTGCCAACAAGTTACCTATTTTTTTGGTTCTAAGGATTTGTTTCTTTCCAAGATTCAAAACCTCATTAAATTTCTATACCAATGAACAGACAGAATAACACTTCTAAATTAGATGGCCCTACCATAGCAACATTTTTCTAGGTATGTCCCCTGAGGCAGGGAAATAAAAGCAAAAATAAACTATTGGGACTACTACAAAATAAAAAGGTTTTACACTGTTGAGGAAACAATCAACAAAACTAAAGGCAACTTATAGAATAGGAGAAGGTATTTGCAAGTGATATATGTGATAAAGGGTTAATATCCAAAATATATAGAGAACATATACAACTCAACACCCCAAAACCTTACAAGAATCTAATTAAAAAATGGGCAGAAGACATGAATAGACATTTCTCCAAAGAAGACATCCAGATGCCCAACCAGACACATGAAGAGATGCTCATTACTGATCATCCGGGAAATGCAAATCAAAACCACAATGAGGGGCGCCTGGGTGGCTCAGCCAGTTGAATGACTGACTTCGGCTCAGGTCATGATCTCACTGTTTGTGAGTTCGAGCCCCACGTCTGGCTCTGTGCTGACAGCTCAGAGCCCGGAGCCTGCTTCGAATTCTGTGTTCTCCCTCTCTCTCTGCCCCTCCCCCACTCATGCTCTGTCTCTTTCTGTCTCAGAAATAAATAAACATTAAAAAAATTAAAAAAAACCCACCACAGTGAGATATCACCCCACACCTGTCAGTATGGCTAAAATCAACAACACAAGAAACAACAAGTGTTGGCAAAGGATATGGAGAAAAAGGATCACTTGTGCACTGCTGGTAGGGATGCAAACTGGTACAGCCACTGTGGAAAAACAGTATGGAAGATCCTCAGAAAGTTAAAAATAGAATTACCATATGATCTAGTAATTGCACTACTAGATATTTACCCAAAAAATACAAAAACACTAATGCAAAGAGATACATGCACTCCTATGTTTATAACAGCATTACTTATAACAGCTAAATTATGGAACCAGCCAAGTATCCACTGATAGATGAATGGATAAAGAAGGTGTGGTGTATACACACACACACACACACACACACACACACACACACACACACACTCTTACAATGGAATATCATTCAGCCATAAAAAAGAATGAAATCTTGCCAGTTACAACAACATGAATGGAGCTAGAGAGTATAATGCTAAGGGAAATAAGTCAGTCAGAGAAAGATGAATACCAGATGATTTCAGTCATATGTGGAATTTAAGAAACAAAACAAATGAGCAAAGGAAAAAAGATTATATACATTATATAATATATATGTCATATGTACATGACAAACTAAGAAAAAGACTCTTGACTAAAGAGAACAGATTGTTACCAGAAGGGAAGTGGGTGGGGGGATGGGTGAAATAGGTGATAGGGATTAAGGAGTACACTTGTTGTGATGAGCACTGGGTGACGTGTAGAATTGTTGAATCACTATTTATACACCTCAAACTAATATAACACTGTATGCCAACTAACTGGAATTACAGTTAAAACTTAATAAATAAAACCACAAATATATTAGATGACCTTTGCCTAAGCCATTCTGATGACCAGAAATAAGAAAACTCCAGGACAACTTAGAAAATTCCTGAGACAGGTTGACTTACCATAAGTATTCACAGAAGGGACCTTTGACAGACTTTGGAAAAATCAGTTAAATGAATGATAAATGAATTAAATGTAGCCTTTAAAACAAGGGAAAGGTTGAAAACAAGCCAATTGGTTTAAAGAAGCCTCGGCTGTCAGAATATTCCAACTTAATGGTTAAGACAAAATGAATGTAAGTAGTCTAAACCAACAGGTATTGAATATGGGCAGAACTGGGGACTAATTTCAAGGGATTCAGTCAACACATCTGATTTTACCAAGATCTCTAATGACAAGGCCTTGAAAATTTACTTAGTCTTCTCCAAACTCTATACTTAACACAAACAGGTTAAACAATTCGGGCAAGTGGGAGTGTCCTTTGCTCTGGCAAGATGTAGGTCACTGATGTGGTTTAAGACCTGGCCCCAAAGCACAGAGATCACAGCAATTCCTTACTCCTACATCCGCGCTAGTTCAGAGATAAGCTAGAATTTTCTGCCACTGAGCTGGGTTCCTCACTGAAATGAAGGCATAAGTAAGTCCAGACGATTGAGCGACCGTCTTAATACAACATTGCTGAATGATGCAAAACTAAGTTTATCCTCCAAACAAGCTCTCTTTTCTTTCTTAGGCCTATTCATAGTCTTCTGGGGGAGGCATGAGTGACAGAAAAACAAACACAAAGCAGAAAAACCTAGGCAGACAGTAAGGACTCAGGCTATGTGACAGCTGACTGTCCAACGTGTTCTATCAGATCCGGGGCATCTCAGTAAGAGGGTAATCCCTGTTGGGAGATGTTGTGCTGGCAGAGAAGTTTGTTCATGATTCTTACCTCAAGTGGAGGAAGCGTCCAACGATGGGGAGCACCTTCGATTCCTTCTGCCTTTGAAGCTATGTGTTCTCCACTTGAGCCTTGAACTCAGCTGCTGAAAAGACAAGATAATTAAGTCTGAATCATCTAGTGGTGGATTTTTTTAAATGCCTCTTTCAAAATGTAATGTATAATTGCTACACTTCAATTGCCCAATAACATGAATGAACACTACAGCCTCTACCTAGATGAGTAGACAATGCCACCCATGCAATGATTACCCCCTGCCAACACACACACACACACGCACACACACACACACACACACACACACACGAAATTATTACGACTACATTACCAGAATGATTAAGTTGAGACTTCCAGGATACTGGAAAAGGTGTCAAATTGTTTTGAATTGGAAAAGGAAGAATTTTCCTCTCTGGGAAAATAAGCCAGTTTTTCCTGGTCAGGGTCCCTGTAGTGGGTGGCCCCCCACTGCTCACAATACCTTTTGGACTTTTGGTGGATCAGATTCAGTCTGAGAGCATGAGGCTTGGTAACCGGGCTGATCTAGTTACCACCTTTATCTTGCAGGGTAGGAGCACAGATGATATCTCTAAGTGTCTGTTCCTTTTCAGGTTGTTAGTGCCTTCCGCTCCCAGCATTCCTTTGAGGTAGGTTGGGTGGGTGCAGCCACTACCATGTGACTTCACATCTGTAGGTTCTAAACCTCGTCTGTACTCCCATCCCCCATATTTTACTCATTACATTTTACATGGCCAGGGAATCTGCTTTTATAAAGTGTCTAACATCTTACTTACAGTTTTCAGGGTAAGATACAGTGACCAAACTGCTGTGGTTCCCCAGGATGCAGGGTTTTCCATACTAAAACCAGGGCAGTCCTGGGAAAACCGAGGAGATTGGGAACCCTAATAAGAACAGGCACGTTTCCAGGTTTCTCATCTAGTGTGCCTCCAGTTACATTTGCCTTTTTAACTTGCGTTTCCTTAGGGACAACATGGGAGTAAGAATAGTATCTACCTTGATAGGTTCTGGTGAAAAAAAGTGCTGTCAACCATCAGTCTGTTTGGGCTGCTACAGTGTATGAACAGAAATGTATTGCTCACAGTTCTGGAGGCTGGGAAGTCCAAGATTAAGGAGCCAGCACGATCACATCTTCCTGGTTCACAGCCAGCACCTTCTGCCAATGTCCTCACGCAGTGGAAGGAGGCGGGGATCTCTCTGGAGCCTCTTTTATGAGGCATTAATCCCATTCATCAGGGTTCCACCTTCATGACTTGAGCACCTCACAAAATCTCCACCTACAGATACTATCACCTTCGGGGAGTAGCATTTCAACATATGAACTTTGGAGGGACACAAACATTCAGACCATAGCAATAAGAATTTGCTCTTAAAATGGTAAAGTGCTGTAAAATTTTATTTATTAGTATGTGGCCTTATCAATGGTGATACAAGCCTGAAGACATTTTCCTCATAGAATCTTTTATTGTCTGTCATCACAGATTCCATGCATTAAATTCACAAATATTGGGCACCTACGGTGTGCAAAGACCTCTTCAGTAAAAAAGACAGAATCTCTGTCCATGTGGAGTTTATTAGATGAAGACACAAAATAAATAAGTAAGCAAAATAAATAAAAATGTATACATTGTGACATGTGCTATGAAGGAAATAGGGAATGTGGTTGTCTTGTAACTGGTAGGGTGATGTCACTGGTGGAGGCATGTTTACTTTGCAAGATGGCCCAGGAGGGCTTCTCTGAGGAGGTATATTTGAGCTGAGATCTAAGCACAAGAAGCCAGGTGGGCAAAGCACAGAAGGGAATGGGTGGAGGGAACAGCAAAGGTGGGCTGTGCATCTGTGATGTAGGAAGGGCAGAAATACTGGACATCTGAACAGCGGTGTCACATGGGGAGTTGGAGTTCGGAGAAAGGTCTGCTGGAAATAATGAATTTCTAAGTCATCATCCTAGAGGCGAAGTGAAAGCCACAGAAGTGGACAGGTGCATGTGAGAGGCGGTTTCCCATGGTGCACGTGCTACTGGAGGGATGTGGGATCATCTCAGGAGCTGGAAACTTAAACACTTGAAATTTTATTGTGATTGTTTTTAGCACATGAGGAAAAAGAATGCAAAAGTAGACATGGGAGAAGAGGAGTGACATCACACATCACATGGAAGACGATTCCTATTTCTGTCCTTTCCTCAGAATCTTCCCTGGGTGTCAGTGCCTGTTTCTCCTCTTTCTCTCTCTCTTCCCTCACGGTCCCAGGTTTCCTCCCATCTCTCCTGCCCAGAGCGGCTGCCTGCCTTCACCTTCATCCCCTGCTGCCCCATTCTTTTTCTGTCACAAAGATCCCCAATCCACTCAGCCTCCCATGTGCCTCTCCTGTCCATTAACCAGCTGCACAGGATCTGCTAGACTTACAGGAAAGCTGAACGTTGTAAAACGGCAGTACTTTTCCTGACGCAAGTATTAATTTTTCCTTTTGTCCTAGAAGATCTGAAAGTCTTGGTGGAAACCTGAGTCACTGTTGTGTATTCTGGGGCATCTGGTGCAGGATTTGAGGAGAGTTTTCTGGAAGGGTGGCCTGGAGAAGGTGAACCAGGGGTCTCTGTCCTGCAGTGCTCCAGGGCTCTCGCCTCACAGGGACCTGCCCTGCCCACCCCACCCGGCACCCCGGACAATTTACTCCACTTGTCTGGGTCTCCACCATCCTCTGTACAAGTGGAGACCATGCTTACTTTTCAGAGTCGCTGAGGCAATTAAGCTGAACGAGCTAGCACATAGTTTTTCATACAGTGTTAATAAGATGCGTTACTACTATATTTTCTCTTTTTATTTTAAATTAATAATTTAAAAGATATTTTAAACAAATTTTGAGAAACATATAAAGTTGGGGTGCCTAGCTGCCTCAGTCAGTAGAACGTGAGACTCTTGATCTTGGGGTTGTGAGTTCAAACCTCACATTAGGTGTGGAGCCTACTTTAAAAAAAATACAAAGTTTAGTTTCTATGGTATTTATTTTTTACATTTACTCTCTATTTGGAAATGAGTATGTTTTCCCTTTATATAGCTTCCCCTTAAAAAATTTTTTTTTCAACGTTTATTTATTTATTTTTGGGACAGAGAGAGACAGAGCATGAATGAACGGGGGAGGGGCAGAGAGAGAGGGAGACACAGAATCGGAAACAGGCTCCAGGCTCCGAGCCATCAGCCCAGAGCCTGACGCGGGGCTCGAACTCACGGACTGCAAGATCGTGACCTGGCTGAAGTCGGACGCTTAACCGACTGCGCCACCCAAGCGCCCCTAGCTTCCCCTTTTAAACAAATGTACATATAGTTTAAGAAGTGGGTTGATTTATAGGGGAAATGAAATAATGGTGCAACTCAGGTGGGACATGGAATAATGCTAGAAAAGGAGGCTCTAATAATTCGAGTTTAGGAAACAAAGATGGAAGAAGAGAGTGCAGCTAGTGTGTTTTATTTCATTTAGAAGGGACCTGGGAAGTCAGCTCAGTTAGCCTCCTTTCTGCTAAAGGAGTTGCTTTAGGGCAAATTTGCTGAATTTGTCATCATGACAAAGCCAGTAGCACTGTGCCCAGTTTCATTATTTATTTTAGTTTTTCAGATTTAACTGAAAATTTGCTGGGAAATCCTGATTATCCAGCCTACCCACGATGGCAATCTAGAAGGCAAGATTAATTATTTCACTTACTAATGGCTGACTGCGTCTTAGTCTCTACAGATCAAGGGACGCTTTTAATTAAAACTCCAAAGAAACATCATAATTAACTAGGTAGAATAATTGTTCATTAAAGAAAGATGTCAAGATGTTAGTGTTCCTTAACAGTGTTAAGGAACTGAGCATCCTGCTTCTTAGAATGTCCAGGCTATTCCCATATAGAAAAAAGCTGTCTGAATACCAGACTTCATTTGAGCTTGGAAGACAAATCATATTATTCTTTGCAGGAGAGAAAAGTGAGAGGGATAGGGATCATCTGTATATGGGGCTGGGGGGGAGGGGAATGTGCCAACATTTTGTATTGGTGAAATCTGGTTAAAAGGACACTCTGAAGAAGGAATAGAAGGTAGGAAAAAATAAGAGCTAACATCTATTTTTTTGTTATGCTCTGGGCACCAACCATATATTACCTCATTAAATCCCCACCAAGACTGCATGAGGTACTAATATTATCTAAATTTTATAGATGAGGAAACTAAGAGGTTAAGTATATGCCTAAGCTTAGGTGTCACAGTTAAGGCTGTAGAGCCAGGACTCAGGACCCAGGTGTCCTACCTCCCGGAGTCTGTTCTCTTAACCACTATGCCAAACTGCTTCTTCAGGAAGTGGTTAAAGGGCAGCCCACAGCCCAGGGGATGTGGAAGGTGAGGAGAGAGAAGGATGCTGTTGCTAGGTAATACATCTGCTTTTCCAAGTTGCTAACTGAATCTGTGACAGTGACACAGATACATATGTTTGTTTGAAGTTGCTAGCCTATTCCTGACCAGAGGAAGGAATTTGTGTGGCTCTCAAGAGAGATCAGTGACCCTACAGTTCACCCTGGAAGGGCTGAGGAGACATCTGGCAGAATCATCTTATCACTTGGAAGCATCTCCCCCTCTCTTCCCAGATCTGTCCCAGGCCACCCTCTCCTGATGCCTGTGGTGACTGATCTAGACTATGGCCCTCCCACCAGTTACATTCTGGAATGGTTTATGGCACTATCTCCCTCCTGATTTTGAAAAATAAACAAATCCACTTACCCACTTACCTGTACTTATTATCAGTTGTGTGAAAGGGAACTACATTTTATTATTTGCAGTTCAAAGTGAATTTAAATTCATGTTAAATTTGAAATGTACATACATGACCCTTGTAAGACATGAGGGATATTGTGGAACCAAACACTCATGATAGTGTAATACAACTTTGAAATGTCTGAGAACCATCAGTGTGAGCCCACATCACACAGACAAGGGTTTCTCCACCTTAGTGCTATTGACATTTTGGGCCATACAATTCTTTCATGTGGGGGCTGTCCTGTGCGCTGTGGGACATACAACAGCATCCCTGGCCTCTGCCCTGATGTTAGTAGCACCATTTTCTGCTACCCTAGTTGTGACCAAAATATCTCCAGTCTATATCTGTCTAATGTCCTTGGACAGCCTTGGTTGAGAATCAAGAAAATAAAGTATATTCAAGTATTCTATCTAGCCCTGGCTATAGAACATGGCTCCTCTTGAGGGCCAGATTCTAATATTCCTAGTAATATTTTTCTTAATTATACAATACATATTTGAAAACATTCTCTTGGTGACAGAGGTGACAGATTCAAACAAGACTGAAGTTTACATAGCAAATGGTGAAAATCCTTGGTGCTCCTCCCATCCCTTATCCCTGTCTTCTGTATGCTTCCTTCTAGTTTGCTTTCCAAGAATATTTTTATATTTTTATCTTGTTTTTTTCAACAGATTCCATATATCTTAATTTGGTCCTTGGATAGGGTTTTAATCATTTTAACAGCTTCTGAAGATGCTTTTTCTAGCTTGCATGGTCCGAATTTCATCTCACAACACTTATTTAAGGTCCATTTCAATTTCTTACCAAGCACACCTACCTCAAAGTGCTTTGTACTGTTAAGACAACCCAAAACAACCACAGCAAGATCACATGGTCCAGACCAGTGGTTCCCAAAGTGTAGTTTCACAGCAGCACCACCTGGAAATCATTAGAAATGCAAACTCTCAAGCCCTTCTCCAGACCTTCTAAATTAGAAACTGTGCAAATTAAAGCTCAAGATTCTGGAAAATGTATTGGATTTGTAAGTAAACACTCAAACTAAGCCCAATCTGGCATTCTCAGGTAGAGACAGAATGAAGATCATACTTTCCAAACAGATATATCAAGAACTCAGAGATAAGCATGAATATCTTTATACCATTTTAAATTTTGCTTAACTGGGCCTAACAGTGGAGGTGGGGACTGGATGTTGTTGAAGATGGATAAAACCTGCCTTGTCCCCTTAAGAAACTCATAACCCAAGACTAGAGAAAGTCTGATATGCAAATAATTGCACTGTGATATGATGGATAACATTCAAAAGTATGTTCCAAGTGCTCTTGGAGCAAAAGGAAGGAGCAACACACTTTTCTTTGAAGAAGGTATTCCAGGTAGAAGGATCAGCATGTGCAAAATCACAGAGGCACACAAAGTTACTTGTGGGAGAGGATGTAAATGGGGGGCCAGGGGGGATGTATTTTGGATTAGTGCAGTGTGAATAGGGATCATTGGGAAGATTGAAGAAAGTGGTTTCCAGCTGGAATATGAAGGGTTTTTATCATGCAAAGAAATTTGATTTATATTTAGGAAACTAAAGGAAACTCAACAATAAGAAACATATAATTAAAAATTGGACAAGACATATACGAAAAGCCCACAGCTGATACCATGCTAAATGGGGAAAAACCGAGAGCTTTCCCCCTGAAATCAGGAATATGACAGGGATGTCCACTCTCACCAGTGTTGTTTAACATAGTGTTGGAAGTCCTAGCCTCAGCAATCGGACAACAAAATGAAATAAAAGGCATCCAGATTGGCAAAGAAGTCAAACTTTAACTTTTTGCAGATGACAAGATACTCTACACGGAAAACCTTAAAGACTTTACCAAAAAGCTGCTAGAACTGATGCATAAATTCAGCAAAGTTGCAGGATACAAAATCAATGTACAGAAATTGGTTGCATTTCTATACATCAATAATGAAGCAACAGAAAGAGAAATCAAGGAATCGATCCCATTTACAATTGCACCAAGAACCATAAAATACCTAGGAATAAACCTAACCAAAGATGTAAAAGATCTATATGCTGAAAACTATAGAAAACTTGTGAAAATAAATTGAAGAAGACACAAAGAAATAGAAAAACATTCCATGCTCATGGATTAGAAGAACAAATATTGTTAAAATGTCAATACTACCCAAAACAATCTACATATTCAATGCAATCCCAATCAAAATTGCACCAGCATTCTTCTCAAAGCTAGAACAAACAATCCTAAAATTTGTATGGAACCACAAAAGACCCTGAGCAGCCAAAGTAATATTGAAAAAGAAAACCAAAGTGGGAGGCATCACAATCCCGGACTTTAGCCTCTACTACAAAGCTGTAATCATCAAGACGGTATGGTATTAGCACAAAAAGAAACGCAGACTAATGGAATAAAATTGAGAACCCATAAGTGGACCCACGAATGTATGGCTAACTAATATTTGACAAAGCAGGGAAGCATATCCAATGGAAAAAAGACAGTCTCTTTAGCAAATGGTGTTGGGAGAACTGGACAGCAACTTGCAGAAAAATGAACCTGGACCACTTTCTTACACCATACACAAAAATAAACTCAAAATGGATGAAAGACCTAAATGTGAGACAGGAAACCATCAAAATCCTAGAGGAGAAAGCAGGCAAAAACTTCTTTGATCTCGGCCACAGCAATTTCTTGCTTAACATATCTCCAAAGGCAAGAGAAATAAAAGCAAAAATGAACTATTGAAACCTTGTCAAGATAGAAAGCTTCTGCACTGCAAAGGAAACAATCAACAAAACTAAAAGGCAACCGATGGAATGGGAGAAGATATTTGCAAATGACATATTGGATAAAGGGTTAGTATCCAAAATATATAAAGAACTTACCAAACTTAACACCTGAAAAACAAATAATCCAGTGAAGAAATGGGCAAAAGACATGAATAGACACTTTTCCAAAGAAGACATCCAGACAGCCAACAGACACATGAAAAGATGTTCAGGGGCGCCTGGGTGGCGCAGTCGGTTAAGCGTCCGACTTCAGCCAGGTCACGATCTCGCGGTCCGTGAGTTCGAGCCCCGCGTCAGGCTCTGGGCTGATGGCTCAGAGCCTGGAGCCTGTTTCCGATTCTGTGCCTCCCTCTCTCTCTGCCCCTTCCCCGTTCATGCTCTGTCTCTCTCTGTCCCAAAAATAAATAAACGTTGGAAAAAAAAATTAAAAAAAAAAAGATGTTCAGTATCACTTATCATAAGGGAAATACAAATCAAAACCACATTGAGATACCACCTCACACCAGTCAGAGTGGCTAAAGTTAACAACTCAGAAAAAAACAAGTGCTGGTGAGGATGTGGAGAAATGGGAACACTCTTGCACTGCTAGTGGGAGTGCAAACTCGTGCACCTGCTCTAGAAAATAGTGTGGGGGTTCCTCAAAAAATTAAAAATAGAACTACCCTATGATCCAGCAGTAGCACTACTAGGAATTTATCCAAAGGATACAGGAGTGCTGATTCATAGGGGCACATGTACCCCAATGTTTATAGCAGTGCTTTCAACAATAGCCAAATTATGGAAAGAGCCCAGATGTCCATCAACTAATGAATGGATAAAGAAGATGTGGTTTATATATACAATGGAATGAGAAAGAATGAGAAAGAATGAAATCCTACTATTTGCAATAATGTGGATGGAACTGGAGGGTATTATGCTAAGTGAAATAAGTCAGAGAAAGACAGGTATCATATGTTTTCACTCATATGTGGAAATTGAGAAACTTAACAGAAGACCATGGGGGAAGGCAAGGGGAAAAAACAGTTTCAAACAGAGGGAGGCAAACCATAAGAGACTCTTTTTTTTTTTTAAATTTTTTTTTTCAACGTTTATTTATTTTTGGGACAGAGAGAGACAGAGCATGAACAGGGGAGGGGCAGAGAGAGGGGGAGACACAGAATCGGAAACAGGCTCCAGGCTCTGAGCCATCAGCCCAGAGCCCGACGCGGGGCTCGAACTCACGGACCGCGAGATCGTGACCTGGCTGAAGTCGGACGCTTAACTGACTGCGCCACCCAGGCGCCCCATAAGAGACTCTTAAATACAGAGAACAAACTGAGGGTTGATGGAGGGGGGCAGGGGAGAGGGGAAAATGGGTGATGGGCATTGATGAGGGCACTTGTTGGGATGAGCACTGGGTATTGTATGTAAGAGATGAATCATAGGAATCTACCCCCAAAACCAAGAGCACACTGTATACACTGTATGTTAGCCAACCTGACAATAAATTACATTAAAAAAAGTGGGCAAGAGAGCTGAAAACACCTCACTGAAGATGTATTGATGGCAAATAAACATACAGAAAGATGCTCAGCATTATCAGGAATTGCAAATTCAAGCAACAAGATACCATCTGTTAAAATGGCTAAAATGAAAAACAACCTGACAATACAAATTAACGCAAGTCTCATTCACTGCTGATGGGAATACAAAGTGGTACAGCCACTTTGGAAAACAGTTTGGCACTTTCCTGCAAAATTAAACCTAGTCTTGCCATATGATCCAGCAGTGGTGTTCCTGGGTGTTTATCCAACTGATTTGAAAATTTAGGTCCACATAAAAGCCTGCACAAACACAAATATTTATAGCAGTTTTGTTCACAATTGCTCCAAACTAGAAGCAACCATTTTATCAATAGGTGAATGGATAAAGTATAATACAACCATACAGTGGAATGTTATTCAGCATGAAAAAGAAATAAGCTATGAAGCCAAAAAAGACATGGATTAATCTTAAACACATATTGTTAAGTAAAAGAAGCCAGTCATGAAGCCAGAAAATTCTACCCACATTCCGATTCCAATTACATGTCATTCTGGAAAAGGCAAAAGTAAAGTGATGGTAAAGAGACCCGTAATTGCCAGAGGTTTGGTGGCGGGGGGGAGGGGCACGTAAGAGTGGTGGTGAAGTAAGTTGAAGCACAGGGGATGTTTCAGGTTGGTGAAACAAGACATTACGCATTTGTCAAAACTGATAGAACTTTATGGGTCAAAGAGTAAATCTTAATGTATGTAAACTTAAAAAAAAAATCACGTAGGAGATTGAGAGGTCCATGACAGAGTGCAGAATGTGAGAAAAGAATCTAAATGTATTATAAATGTATGAAACAACCTTGCTGAAGGGGATTGGGGAACAAGATGGTGACCTGGGTCACTTTGGGAAAGAATGGAGTCTGTAAGATAAAGGGCTACAGGCACTGTTGTTGAAGCACTGTACTGCAGTTGACAAGGTTGTTTTTGACAAGGGTATGGGTTAAGAACTGTGAAACTGCTAGATACTGGAAATGAATGATTCCATAAATGGATGGTGGACGGGGTGGAGCTAGATTTGTCACAGTTGGATTGGGAATTTACAGACAAAGCAAAGAAGGTGACCAGAATGATCATGTGGCAATGGATTAGAGTTGGCAACATGAGAATGAACTCATGCTCAGCTTCATATATAGATATAGATGGTTACGTATGGAAAATGTACATATACATATCTCCAGATGTGTCAGCTGAGAAGGCTTAGAAGCAATAATACCCCAACAGCAATGAGCACACCTAGCACCCAGATATTGGTTTCTTTTTTTTTTAATTTAATTTTTTAACGTTTATTTATTTATTTAAAAAAAATTTTTTTTCAACATTTATTTATTTTTGGGACAGAGAGAGACAGAGCATGAACGAGGGAGGGGCAGAGAGAGAGGGAGACACAGAATCGGAAACAGGCTCCAGGCTCTGAGCCATCAGCCCAGAGCCTGATGCGGGGCTCGAACTCACGGACCGCGAGATCGTGACCTGGCTGAAGTCGGACGCTTAACTGACTGCGCCACCCAGGTGCCCCTTAATGTTTATTTTTGACAGAGAGAGAGAGAGAGGGAGAGCGCGTGCGCTCGCGAGCGAGCATGAGTGGGGGAGGGGCAAAGAGAGAGAGAGACACACACACACAAAACCTGAAACAGGCTCCAGGCTCCCAGCTGTCAGCACAGAGCCTGATGTGGGGCTTGAACTCACAGACAGTGAGATCGTGACCTGAGCTGAAGTCAGACACTCAACTGACTGAGCCACCCAGGCGCCCCCCAGATATTGGTTTCTAATACCACTCTTCAGTAAAAGGAACTGGGGCACCGTGGAAAAATGGCTGATTCTAAGGTTGGGGCAGGATGTATACAAAATTGTCCTAAAGCATCTTATAGTAACAGAAAATAAAAAAGTGCTCAAAACCAGAAAAAAAAGAAAACACAGAACAAGTGAACAAAAATCCACAGTGATATCAAATGGATACAGTAGCCAACTGAAAGATGTCCCAGTGGTCAAAGCCGGAACAATTTGAGCAAAAAAAATAAATGAAGTAGTATTAGATTATAAGCCAAAGAAAAAAAGAAATGTAACTCCACACTGATATAAATAAAGGACTGAATAAATAGAAAACAGAACAAATCTCCTGTATAGAGGAAATCCAAATAATTTATGTACACACTCCACCCCTAAGGAGGTAGGGCATAACTCCCACTCTAAGTGTGGGCTGCACATAGTGACTTTCTTCCAAAGGATACAATATAAAAAGGAGAAAAAACGAGTAACTTTACAGTGGAGAAGCCGAGTGATCTGGGTTAACATCAACAGTGAGAAGTCATATTGACAGTATGCACTGTTGACATGAGAATGGAACCTGGACTTCTGCGGTCTACCTCCCAGGAGCACGTTACCTCAGCCTAATCATGAGAAGATATCAGACAAATTGAAGGATGTTCTACAAAATACCTGACCAGTAATTCTTAAAACGGTTAAGGTCATTTAAAAAAAAAAAGAAAAAAAGGAAGTCTAAGAAACTGTCACAGCCAAGAGAAGCCCAAGGAGACATGATGACTAGGTGTAATGTGGTCTCCTAGGTGGGATCCTGGAACAGAAAAAGGAGATTAGGAAAAAACAGAGAGAATCTGAATCAAGTATAGACTTTGGTTAATACAAATGCATCAACCGGGCATCTGGGTGGCTCAGTTGGTTAAGGTCATGATCTCATGGTTCGTTCATGAGTTTGAGTCCCACATCAAGCTCTCTGCTGTCAGCACAGAGCCTGCTTTGGATCCCCTGTCTCTCTTTTCTCTTTGCCCCTCCCCTGCACACTGTGCTCTCTCTCTCAAAAATAAATAAACATTAAGAGGTTACTAATAGGGAAAATTGAGTATGTGGTATATAAGTCTTCAGAATCATTCCACAAACCTAAAACCATTTTAAATATAACATTAAAAATAAAAAAAGGAAGCCTTGTGAGCCAGTGTATTCCCACAGAAGACTGACATTATCCCTTTGTAGTATTCTATGGAATGGTTCATTAAAAAAAAAAAAGAAATTTACATTTCTTAACTCTTTGAAAGTTGCAGTAACTGTTGCTTGCAGACATTAAAGTGGGATCTGTAAGAGAAAAAAAAAATTCTCAAGGAGAGAAATAGTTGAGAGATCATTGTCATGGATCTTTGAGGTTTTGGATGATCATCCTCTAGAGTACCTTAGATCTTGGCAGTGCCTTGGAGATGCTCTGGTTCTCTTCCAGGACCCTGCTAAATCCCTGTGATTGGATTACTTCTGCCATGCCGGTGGTTGCACCCTACTGGGCAAAGGATTGAGACAAGGATTCCAGGTAGATTAGTTTTCCGTTGTTTTAACAAATGGTCCCAAATGTAGTGGCTTAAAACAAGACAGAACCAAAGGTATTCTCTCACTTAACCTTTACAACATGGCTGTCTGATACACTCTTGTTACTATTTTCATTTTTATAGGTAGTAACTTATCCAGGGTTACACAGTACTGAGAGGTGGACTGTGGTAGATGGTCTTTAAAGATGGCCACCATATTAGCCTTGCACTGTTTTCTCCAAGAATGGTATCTCAGAGAGAAACAGACTTCTATCTTTTTTAGGTTACTATTCAGATCTCTGTTAGGGTAGCTGAAGCTGTATCCTAACCAATAAGGCCTCCAAATATGTCTATCTCTGTAACATCATCCCTGCTCACCCATCATCTACATTCTTACTGTCATCCCACTAATTGCTTTCTTCTTTCAGTTACTAAAAGAGTCTCCTAACTGAGCTGATCCCTAAATTCAAGACAATTTTGCCTTCTGGGGAACATGGGGCAAAGTTTGAGGACATCTTTTGCTCTACAACTGAAAGAGAGGTTTCTAGTAGCATTTGTGGATAGACCAGGGATGCTGCTGAACATCTTACAAGGCACAGAATAGTCCTCCACAACTATGACTTACGAGGCCCCAAATGTCAACAGTGCCAAGATTGAGGAACTCTGATCTAATATATATCCCCTGTACTTGACCAGTGATAGATTCACATTTCAGATCTGACCTATGCCCCTTGTGGTGTATCCCCTGTACTTGACCAGTGATAGATTCACATTTCAGATCTGACCTATGCCCCTTGTGGTGTA